CACCAACTGGCTGTGCAGAAAAGAAAAGTGCCTACAGTGTCAGTCTGAACTTCCGAGGCCACCAATCTAGAAACTGTGCCTTGACTCACTGAAATCTGGTGATGCTTCAGAACCCGCTACCCGACTTCTATTTCCCCTCCTTTTGTGGACAGAAAACATATTTTGTATAACTCGAATCTGTATAAATTAATTCATATTCATTTTGTAGCCCTAAATAAATAGATCACTCTTCATTTTAGCAATTCTGTAGTTCCAAATTCAGTCCTTGTATGTCTTTCAACTAAATTAATTTTTTTAAGCATTTATAATTTTGTTTTAAATTTTCATGCTTCCCGGGCTGGAGAGATGGCTCAGCAGTTAAGAGCACTGACTGCTCTTGCAGAGGACCTGGGTTCGATTCCCAGCACCCACATGGGCGCTAGCAACCAGTGCATCAGTTGCAGGATTCCCAATGGTCAGGACCAAACACGGCTGCAGACATCACCAGATATCCCCTGGTCTTAATGCCTGGAGAGCAGTGCTCCCTCTCCTTAAATATGGCTCATTTTTTTACCTTTGTTCAATTAGTTTCACTAGAATTTCTTGGAATGTACAAAAACAGACTGCACTGGAGTTGGCTCATGGCCTACAGTTTGCAGACCCTGACTTAGATGGTTGACTTTTTCTTTTTCCTAATAAAGGCATGAAAAATGATGTATTTCTAAGATACTTTAGCTGTATTTCAAAAGTTCTGAAATAGTGCTGGTAATGGCTATGGATAGAATAGATTTCTCTATAGAAATAACATAGGAATATAACTTATTTCAACCAAATGGCTTACAAGTAGGCTTCTGAAATACAGCGAACATTTAAACCTTTTAATTTACTAATTTTTATTTTATGTGTATGAGTGTTTCACCTGCTTGTATGTTAAGTGCATCATGGGCATGCAATGCATGTGGAGGCCAGGAGAGGGCGTTGGATCCCCTGAAACTAGAATGTACAGTTTGGAATATTATGGAGGGTTGTTAGTAGCCATGTGGGTCCTGGGACCTGAACCTGGGTCTTCTGTAAGAGCAACCAGTGCTCTCAACCACTAGGCCATCTCTCCAGTCTAAGCTCTTACTGAACACTTAAATAACACGTCAATCATACATAAACTTAGAAAATATGAGAATGACAATGAAAGTCCTTGAAAAACTGACAGACATTAGAAAAAAAAGTCACAGACTAATAGTACTCATACAGACGCAAAATTCTCATACAAAATACCAGCAAATTACAAAGCAAAATGAAAAAGGAAACAATGGGGAAAATATCACCATAATTACACAGTAAACTTTAGTTACATAACTTAGTTATACGCTCCCAACCAGGTGATAAACTGATAAATTTCTAGTTTGGCAGCAAAACTTTTTTTTTAACGTGTATGTGTGTATTGCCTGCATGTAGGTAAGTGCACCCATGTCATGCAGTGCCCACGGAGGACAGAAGAGACTGTTGGATCCCCTGGAACTGGAGTTACGGACAGTTGTTAGCTGCCATGTGGGTGCTGGGATTCGAACCCGGGTCTTCTTCTGTGTTCTTAACCACTGCACTATCTCTCCAGCCCCCAGCAAAATTATTTTTGCTCTTCTCAGTAAGAAAAGGCAGCCTGCCACATCCCAAACACTGACCAGAAGAAAATTAGGATGATGTCATGGTACCTTACTGAGTGCTGGTTTGCCGCCACCTGCTGGGAGGCAGACATGAATTTCCAGCATCCTTAAAAGGTGTAAAGTGACGACCTAAGAAGTTGTAAACTTTTGCCTATTCCATAAAATGTACCCTAAGGGCCTGAAAGAAATGAACAATTTCAGAATAAATTAACTGTAGATAACATGTGACTTGAATAGAAAACAGAGCATATTCTTTTCCAGTCAATAGAAACTAGGTGGTATATTTGCCCTTCTGGTGATTTACAATGCAGCTCTTTAAAATAATGAGTTCCACAAGTACTGACCAAGTATTGACAGAAAGAAAATAATGGCAAATAACCACTTGACTTAGACTAATGTAAAAAACGAGGTGCTTAAAAATAACTATGCAAATCAGTATTAAAAAGTAGCAAATGTAAAGATACAGTACCAATTCTCACAGGCTGAACAAGGGCCCTTTGAAGACATCCATATCCTCTTCAGAACCAAGAACCATGGAGATTAATCCTCGTGGACACTGACCCTGGGTTTGGAAAGGACCAGTGACTCCTTTTTCCCTGGGATGGCTCTAACTGCTGTCCTACAGCTTGCTCCACCACTGTCTTTTGCACTTTGGGAGCAGAGAACAGGTTTTCTAGCTTCAAAGGTCTGGGGGGAAAACAATTTTGCCCCAAGATAGACTTATACCCAGAGCCTCAACCACACCTAATTTAATCCATTTAGATGATTTAATCTCTGGAGGCTGAGAATGCTGTAAGGATTTGAAATGGGAGGCAGAAGGCCCTTTGCAGGGGAGTGGATGGATTTTTCATGAGAACATGAATCTTTGGGGGCTGGAAGGTGAACTGTGGTAGAGAAAGCCTCTCCCTAAACACAGATTTTTGTACCCTCATCACCAGAACTCATGAATATGCTACCTTACAAAATACAAAGGGGCTTGGAAAATATGATTAACGACTTGGAGATGGGAAGAATATTCTGGACTACCTACTTGGACTCAATCACACCAATCCTTAAAAGGAACCTTTTACGGATGCTTCTGGTTTTGAAGATGGTGGAAGGAGGCTACACAACAAGGGATGTGGGAGGCTTCTAGAAAAGGCAAAGAACACTCTCCTCTAAGACCCTAGAAAGAACGAAGTCTGCCAACATGCTGACTTCAACGAGTGAAGTATGCTCTGGACCTCGACCTACAAATATAATAAATTTGCATTCTTTTAAACTACTAAGTTTTGGCAATTTGGAAGACAGTAACAGAAAATATAGTAACAGAGTTATTAGGTTCCAACATTACAGTAAGAGTGTCCCAAAAGATGATTCACTTGAGAAAGGAAGCAAAGGCTTCTTGACATATATTCTGACCCTTAGCTACGTGGCTGACCTGACTTCCTACTTCTCTAGCTTACAGCATCCATTCTGGCTTCCTTGTAGTGTTCTTTGAACATGCTAAGGATTTGAGTAGGTTATATACAAATACATGCAATCTCATATCAAATGCTTGAGCATGTTCTGATTTTGGTATTAGGAGGCTGGGAACCTGTACATACCTACAAAACTGCAGCTCCTCAAATTTGTTAAAATGAACATAAAAAAACAAAAACTAGCTGATTACAAGAACTCCTATCTTAATCTAATACAATATTACAGCACTTAGTAGTGACCACTGGGTGACACACGTGTGGTTGGTGAGTGGGCCTCACTATATGGATTCAAATACCTGATGCCTTGTTAAAATGAGGTCATTTTTCAAGTGCCTTTCCACATCTCTTAGACATGGGGCACTGTTTAAGGTCAAATTATAAGAAAACTGCTATATAATGAACCTTGTCTTACACATGAGCACATTTATTAAATAATTGCTAAATACATTTTTTACCAACTTTTACAAAAAATTTCAAACTTGCAGGAGTTAAAGGAACATTCACATTTGTCATCTAAACTACCAATTGTTAAAATAGTGCTCTGCTTTTTCTCCACTTTATTTTTATTCTGGATTACCTAATATTTGTAGATATCAAGACTTCAGACCTATCTGAACATACATCTACTAAGAATAGGATTCTTCTAGAAAGATCATTTCTGACAAATCAAAGTATGTTTCAAGTTCAAATTTTAAAAGTTCTTGTCCCTTCACCGGCATTGGCACACAACTTTAATCCCAGCACTCCAGAGGCAGAGGCAACCCCTTGAGATCCACGTGGGGCTACAGGGGGGCTCTGTCTCAAAAACACCCCAAACAACAAAAATCCTTAGTTCTACCTGGGCTTGCTCACGGTTGCCTTATAGACTACACGGTTTTTTTGTTTGTTTCTTTCACGATACTGACACTGACGTCCAAATAAATCAAAAATTGAATTTATTTAAATGGCTCCTCAAATTGAGATTTAAAGTAAACATTTTGGGAAGACTGATACACAGATGTAATTTCCACAGCCTCAAAGGCAGGTTCAAGTCTTCCCTAGTCCTGGCGACACGAGCACTTCTGCTTCATGAAGCCGTTTTTTGTTTTTTCCCTTTTTGAGACAGGGTCTCCTTGCAGCCCCAGCCCCAGCTGTCCTGGAACTCACTATGTAGACCAGGCTGGCCTCGACCTCAGAGATCCGCCTGCCTCTGCCTCCCAAGCGCTCTACCAACAGTCCCCTCATTAAATTTAATGTTAAGAAAAACGTGTAGATGAGCGCGGATGTCGTGTGGACGCCAACATTCGAGAACGTTTTCCTTGAACACCCCTCACATTCCCACCGTTCCACCCAGCGGCGAGGTAGCGGACACGACGTCTGCTCATTTCATCTTTCCTCGGGAGCCCCTTCCCCACCTCGGTGACTCCCGAGGACGCCGCTGCGCACGGGTCCTGCTGGCGGGGACAGAAACGAGGGCCGGGGATTAAGGAGCAATGCGGTCGCGGCCCTCCCAGCCGGGCCGCTTAGAACGCTGCACTTCGGCTGCACTGAGTCCCACAGGTGGCAGCGCCCTGCGAAGCCTGGCTCTTCCGTCCGTCCGCGACCCCGCAGTTTACGACGGGAAGGACGGGGAGGATTCTGCAACTAGGGCGGCCAAGACTGGGAAGGCCTCGGGGCGGCGAATGGCCTGTCCGGCGTGTAGGCCGCAGGCTCTGAGGACGCGCCGAGCCGCCCGGGACGCGGTGCACACGCCACACACCGTTTCCCGCCGCAGGCACACAGCTGTCTGGCGCACGCACCCGAAGCCGCCGTCTGCGCCTGCGCGAGGCGCCTGCGCGCCACCGCCCGACGGAAGGGGCGGGTGGAGTGGGCGGAAGGGGCGGGGCGAAGCGGCGTGGCCTCGGGTGGGTGAGTGCGGGGCTACGTGCGCGCGGCGGCCGGGAGTCGGGGCGGGCGCGTCCTCGGCCTGGGGTCAGCCCGGTCGTCGGGGGCGCCCCCTGGAGGCTCGCGGGGGGCAGGAAAGGAGGGTGTGGCCGATTGATGGCGGGCGGAATACGTGTGGGCAGGCACGGTCGGTGGATGCCCGGGGTAAGCGCGCCTGCGCCTGGTAGAGGGAAGGCGTTGGAAACCTGTTAAGTGTCAGGGTCGAGGGCCGGCTGGTGAGCTTGCCTTCGTGTCCCAGGAGGGTAGCCTGGGCCAGCCGCCTGCTCTGTGTCGCCACCCAACCCTGCGATGGCTTAACCCAAATCCAGATGTGGAAAAAGCAGTGGTCCCCCTCATTTTAAGGGGCATAAAACCAGAATATGAAAGTGGGGTTCAGATAGAAGTCACGGTGTCTAGGCTCTGTCAAATAACGTCTAGACCTCTTTCACAGAGGACAGCTGTCTTCAGATATGTATTTCTCATTTGAAAAATGAAAGTCTAAGCCATAATAACATGATGGAGATTTCTTACTGCCTTTCTTAAGCACTGGGATGTTATGCATTTATCTTGGATAACAAAGACTAGTAAGACTTGCAAGCTGGTAGAAAACCAACTTTGAAGGAGAACGGAGACATTTTAGGATCATCTACAGTGTCCCGAATGTTCTTTTACATAGTAAATGCATTCATGGAAACAGTATTTTTTAAAGGATGGTTCTTTTAAGGGTTGGTCCTGTTACGGTGAACAAAGTAAACACAAAACGTTACATAACCATAAGGAATGTAAATCAGTTTAAAAATTCGAAGATTCAGACGAATGTATTTAGAACGGGAAGAGTTAGTGAATGCTTTGAAACTTATTACCCAGCTGATTGTTGTCATATGGGAAAAGAGAACAATTGCTTTTTCCTTATGTAAGAAAGGCTTTGGAAACATTGCTTTAAGATCTTCTTTGTGGCACACGCCTTTAATCCCAGCACTTGGAAGGCAGAGGCAGATGGATCTCTGAGATGGAGGCCAGCCTGGTCTACATAGTGAGTTCCAGGCTAGCTGGGGCTACAGGTAGACCCTGTCTCAAAAAACCCAAATAACTAAAATCCTCATCAATCTTTTTTCTTCAAAGATCTGATTTTCTGCAACACAGAACAAAAAGTATTTTTAGGTGATTTTTTTTTCTTGTTTTTTTAATATAATCAGCAAGCAGTTAACATGCACTCTCTGTGTGTCAGGTACAACTAGTTAGTGATCTGTATAGATATCACATAAATTAACATTCAGAATAATTGGTATGAAAATGGAAGAAAATCCAAGGGGTAGGATCACCAGGATGGGATGTAAGAAAACAGTGAAGTCTAAGTGGAGTGGGGGAAATGTCATCGAAGATAAAGATGCAGCCTGTTAGTAAAACCTCAAAGCTGGGAAAGTGAGCATTGGGCTTGTAGACAATAAGTAAACTCTCCTGACAGGAGGTTTGAAAGCTGATTGTAGGAAATGGTTTGGAAGAAACTCTGATGCCAGATAAAGACCACTGAACTTTGTTCCTAGGGCAGCAGTTTTCAAACTGAAGGGCTTAACACATGCTGTTGGGCCCTACTTCGTAGTTTCAGGTTCAGAAGACCTGGAATGGGGCCCGAGAATTTCCCTTACTTATCAAGTACTGCTGGTCTGGTTTGGAAACATTGTCCTAGGATGTGGAGGAATTTGAAGAGAGTAAACAGCCCACATTCATATTTCAAGATGAGTCTTACTGTGAAGTCCAAGAAGGGGAGGAGGAGATGGGAAGGGAGAGGAATGTTCCTTAGAGTTAATCAGAACCTGCTAGATGCCAAGCCTGTGCATGCACACTCTCTCACACTCACGGTTACCTGCGTGTGTAGGTCTATTTTAATTTTGTATGTGAAGAAACCAAGAGTGTAAGAGATTGCTGAGGTGGAAGAGCCAGTCTCCAAACTCCTGAGCTGTGTGCAGATTCAAAAGTGGGGTGGGAGCAGAGAGGACAAATCAAAACATTTAATGGTAATGGAATTTAGAAAACTCTGAAGCTTGTTCACCCCAAGTTGACCTCAAAGTAGAAATTTGGAAATGTGAATCTTTGGAAACGTAGTGAAAGGTATCGTGGACAGGGAACTTTGGAGAAGTTCTCCATGAATTCAGTATATAACAATGGCCTACTTAAACCCTATTTAACAGTTGCTTACTAAAGAAAGTCATTCTATTCTGCAGAAACTTCCTGACATCTTTTAGCAAGGAGACTGTAAAGCCTTTTTATGGGGGTGGGGGATGATAAACAGATTAATGGCATCTGACAGCTTAGCTCCCAAATCAAAAGTTATTAGCACTGAGAAACAGGAGCATATGGGATAACTCTGCAGCCTATACGAATTGTGCTGCATCACAGACACTGACCTCATGTATTGATTTTGGAAATCCTCTATGTGTTTTCTTGCCAAGGTAGTTACCGAAATTATGAATACTCAGTGGACCAATTCCAAGACCAGTATCCCACATCAGACACTAGAGCAAATCTATATATTGAAATCAGAACTTTAAAAGAAAAATATATTTATTAATGTATATTTTCTATAAAATAAAAACATCCATATTTTCAAAATACCAGTTGAATATTCAGTATAATTTTGAGTGGTGGAGCTATAAAAAATTACACCACGCATTCTTTTATTGTGTGGATTGTAAACTGTATGCAAAGAAAACTTATCTCTATAAAAGACCGCCATCTTAGAAGTGAACAAAGGGCAGTGTGATGAGGGCTGTCAGAAGAATGTGGCCAGTAGAGGACGGCAAGAGATAGCAGTGGACTGAAGCAATCAGGAAAGAAGGCGGAGGAGCTCTGCAGAGGAGACCCTTGATGGGTTCTTGAAGGCTGTGGAGGAGTTTGTGAGATGCTAAGAGGGCATTTCAGGCAAGAAGAACATCGTGGATGACAGCCATGTTGTATGAGAGAGTGTAGCCTTCTCCGGGATCTCTGTGCAGAGAGGGATGGTTAGAACAGTGTAAAAGCTGAGGAGGGAAACGAGGTACGTGGAGAGGTGGACAGAAGAATTCTTAGAGTGTGAGATACTTGTGTAATGACTGGCTTGGCTGGATTGCAAATGTCATGATACCAGAAGTCATGCCTGAGACCTATGTCAGTGTATTCTGAGGTCTAGCGCAGGGGCCTGCATATAGTAGCCTCTCAGTATTTACTGAATGAATGAATGATTGGCATATTCACAGAAAAGCATTTTTCTAGTTTTTCAGGTAAGGCAAAGGGAGCCCTCTAAGTAAGGAGTAATAAGATCACAAGGAAGGCTGACAGTGTGGCCGATGACTAAATGGTTGGAGAGGTGGCTGTAGTGCCCTGGGGCCTTCTGAACCTATCATTGCACTTGCAGTCTGCATTAAGAAAAACATAGACAATATTAGAGTGTATCACATGTAAAAGGGTAAATATTTGCTGGAATCTCTCTCTCTCTCTCTCTCTCTCTCTCTCTCTCTCTCTCTCTCTCCCTCTCTCTCTCTCTCTCCCTCTCCTGATGTAAATATGTTCCTTCCTAGGAATACAACCAGGCTTCAAACCCATTGCAGTGGAGAAATGTGGAGAATGACTGGGAAGAAGGATTGGGTACCACATAATTTTTTTAGTAAAACCGGTGCAAATCCTAAAATGTTACTATTCGTGTGAACATTCTAGCAGGGTAGCTTCTGTTCCTGTAAAAGAATCTCTAGATAACTTAAAGGTTTGTTTTGGCTCACATTTTGGAAGTTTTGGCCCATGACCCTTGTCCCTGCTGCATTGGCCCTGTGTTGGCACAGTGTGCTGATGATGGAAGCATGTGACAGAGAAGCTGCCAGGAGTGAAAGAGAAAAGGGGCTGGATTCTAACATCCCCTTCAAGTGCATGCCCCCAATGACTTAACTTCCAGGATGCCTCACTTTCTAAAGGCTCTATAGTCCCCAGAGCATCATAGGCTGGGCACCAAATCTTTAACACATGGGCCTTTGGGGGACACTTAAGATCCAAACCATAGCAGGAAGCGATGATAACCTAGTGCAATATTTTTGCTTACTTGATATTTTTCATTATATACTAAGAAATTGACATGTTTATTAGGTATGACAGTACTTTGAGGTAACTTGCTGAATGTTGTAAATGCTGCAGAACTTTGTGTTTTGGTAGTGCTTAGCTTACAGATTACAGGACGAAACCATACTGTCAGAAATCATGACAATTACTTGAAACAGTTTGATATGATTATTGGCCAAATCCTTTGATATCTTTCCTTTAGAAAACAAGCAAAGATGGGCAGCTTTCTCCTGCCTATATGGTTTTCCAGTGTAATGGACAGAGCCTACTAGAATGTCAATAAAATTACAAACTTGTTTTTCTGTTCAGCCTGTGACATGTATATTAAGGCTATCAAGTTGCTCATAAGGCCCAGTTATGTTCACTTCTAAGAAATTTATTGGCTCCTTTAAAATCAGTTCAGTTAAACAAAATAATGGGGTTAAGTTATGAATTTATCAGGTGTGAATTTTCTGTGAAATGAAAAATTTAAAAATGTTTAAAATTTGATCTGTTCTGTACCTAACACATTATTGGCTATTCATCCTGATAAATTTTATATAGGGAATGGAAACTACTTTCTAATTTTGGTGAAAGGAAAAATAAAATTGAAAAGATAAACAGCCAGCCAAAATCATGCCACATTCAAATGTAAAGGACTGTTTTATGTTAGATAACACCATATAGATCTGTACTTAGGAAATCCATGGTTTACCCCAAGTCCTAACACTGGTTATGAGGCCTCATGTTGCTGAGCCTCCTACCTGTGTAATAGGATCTTGTTTATTGTAAGATCATGTGGAATAGCTAGGGAAATACATGCAGAGTATCTCATATATAATAAACACCATGAAACATAGCTATGGGTGTCTGCCAGTTTCAGTGTCCAAAGAGCTGAGAGCAGGTGTGTGTGCACGCCGCCCCACCCCCGGCCCAAAACCCCTCAGAGGTTTTATGTTTTTTTTTTTTTTAATTTGTTATTTTATGTGTCTGGATGTATGCCTACATGTCTGTATGTGTACCATGTGTGTGCCTGGTGCCGTGGAGGCCAGAAGGGGGCATCAGATTCCCTTGGAACTGGAGTTACAAAGGTTGTGAGCCAT